TAACCCCACAGCTGCGAGTGATTCACACGCCTCATTTTTTTAGCTGTCGATATCACCGAGTATGCGCGTTTATGTTCCGCGTTGCCGTGCGCGAGAGCCATTGAGGGCCGCCCGCTGCTGACTTTGCCTGCTTTCACCTTGTTTGCCGGACAGGTCGAAACTAGGCGCTAGGCTTGGCAAACCAAGTTAAGCACACACACACACAACTACCTCTAACCGTCTCCTTTGCCTTTTGTAGGGAAAAGGGGGAAGGGGGAGTTGTTTTGTGTTGTGACTGATTCAACTCCCCTTGATTTCTGCATGATGACTCCTCCCCCGACACTGTTAAAGTTCTGCACAGCACACGCATTGCAAATTGTGAAGGATTCGGATGCTTTGTAAAACCGGCGATACTTTGCAATTGCGAATCAATATTTGCTGCACAGCATCGTTTGAAAATTGCAAAATGAATCCTTCGTATGGATTCGAATCCTTCGCAATTCGAAAAGCGTCTGCAAAGCACTGCTTTTCAGGAGATTGGCAGTGCACTTTCATTGCTACTCCGAAAATGTAGAAAGGACACACACTGGAAAAACTAATGTTACCGAGGGAACGTTTCATCATGTGACCGAACCAGGTAACGTTTCCTGATGCAACCTACCCCATGAAAAAGGATAGGGCCATCCTTTGAAGTAAGATTTCCACGACGACTGTGACTCGTGTCATGTTTGTTTGAGTACCAGGTACTTTTCGTTACAACGTTACAAAGTAACATGCATTAAGCGTAAGCGCTTATTGGAACATGAGAGCAAAGCGATTCGGCGGTACGTCACGTTTTAACGAATGAAATTGATTTTTGAGGATACTTCATCAAAAAACGAGAGAAAACCACATATTTTTCTTTGTAGAACCTGTGCTTTCCTTATTTCAGAGTAACCGTACCTATCCTAGAATCGAAAGAAAGTGACATTTCCCATTCACACTCGAGCTATGTCAATGATTCATCCATACATCTTTCAGCAACTAGACCGTGCCTTCTCTGTTTCCTATTTAGAGCGACATTTTGCATGATGCACGAGCCCACGTCCCGAAGACCATGTCACGAATATACGAAGGGCCGTTACTACAACATGGGTGCTGTACGCGCTGACCCTATACTCCCCCGCACGAACCCCTCCCCTCTGCTCGAGTTATTTAATGAAATCGAGCGGCGCGCGTAAACCGCAGATATTGATTATGTGTTGACGTTGCCGATCCCCAACCCGATCCCCCTAGACCAAGGCCTGTGGCTCAATCCCCCCGTGGATTCTTGTGGGGAGCGCCGAGGAGTTTCCGGGAGAAAGAGAACTGATGTAGTGAGGGAAAGGGAGGGGAGGGGGAGAGACAGGGAGAGACTCGACGAATCAGATGGGGCTTCTGGCGGCCGAGATCCACTCCGGAATCCCCGAGGAAAATCGTATCCCGCGTGTGCAGCTCGTAAGTTGTTTGGGGCGGTGAAGGCGGGGGCACGAGGGGAGCCGCCGCCCACAGATTGAATTTTATTATGGCTCGGCCTTGCTGTGGTGGGACCAAAATGCACTCTGTGATGTTGTTCTCAAAATAGTTGATTGAGCTGCGCACTCACTAAACCCTTGTGCTCTACGTTGTGAATATGAGACTTACAGATTTTTAAGCAGTCGACAGGTATATGCATAATTTCATGCACGATTACGAAACTTCACATACCTCAGGGCTGCTTAAAAGTTAAGTCTTATCCACAAAATAATGCATAAGGGCTTAGTTCGCAGGTATACCGCAAAGGCAAATTAACATTGACAAAATTTATATGATGTCAAAAACAATGTTAATGCACTGAGAATTTTTTTTCCTGCTG